AATGTATAAAACTTAAAATAATCACATATTCGTTAACTGATTTAGTTATCCTTTTCTTATTTACCATCTTTTGATTATGAGATACCTGATATAATAGCATTTAAACATTTGAAAACATTGGATATTTTATTTAATCTATCGTCTCATAAATTTTAAAATATTTTTGTTCTATGATGTGTCAAAATTCAAACAAACAACCAAATAGATTTTGTTGGCTAAAAGCTATTAAATGATCAATGTTGAATAATATGATTAGATGGAATAAAAAAAAGTTGAATGAAAATCAAAGCATTTGTAAACTGTGAAATTTTATCACTAAATAAAAAAAATCATATTCAAGAGCGTCTTTCACTTTGCATATATTATAAAAGAGCAGTAAAATACTTTGCTTCTTCAGATTAGTATATTAGATGATGGAACAAAGTTTTTATACTTCAAACAAAATATTATCTAACAGAGTATTTTTCTAAAAAACTGATTTGCACCTCACTCTGATAATAAAAAAAAATTAACTTATCCAATTTATAAGGCAAATATTGAAAGTGTCGGTATGTTGGAAGATAGATGATTAAGAATTGTATCTAGATGCGTAAATATGTGAGAGATGTGTGTATACTGATAGAAATTCACCTTCAATATGATGAGCGAGAAAATCCCATATTACGTGAACTACGTGATATGTGCAAAGAAATGATATCCGCTCGCTGTTATATTTCTTACTGACAATTTGCTTTTTGAAGATATATGCTCCACGTGTGCGTGAGTATGAGAGTGATTAGTTCAATAGAAAGAGAGATATATTAATATGTTGAAATTGATCAATTGGAATAGTGTATCTATATGATCATAACGAGTAGGTATGAATCTTTCAATTTATTTGATCTGAGATAAATTTCTTTTTCTAATTTTAATTAGAGAATAACAGCATTCAAACACTAGTACAGTGGGATACGCTCGCTTGAGTTAGTCTACGTGTAATGTTACATCGAAGATTATTTCATGTAAAATTGTTTAAGTCCAACAACGCCTATAAATATTAGCGAGATTGTGTTAATAGTTCTGTCGAATCACTCTTCGGCATATGTGGTATATTAACAATGTCATTTTTATTATGGTGGATACAAACAATACTACTTGAACTTGAATTTTTGTCATTCTAATTCAAAATAAATCAACAAGTCCACATTCTTTTTTCTTGTATTTACAGAGACAAATTATCGTTTGTCTATAGTATTTTTCTAAGTGAATATTTTTCATGTACAGACAATTATCAGTTTTTGTTGTACAATAACAAAGCGACGTGTCAAGGTCGACATACTAATTCATGGATAATCATATGAAATAATTGTGTTCTGTTAAAAGTAAAAGTTTTTAAATTTGTATCAAGATAAACTTATACATATAGACCGGTAAATATCAATGAAAAGTCTTCATTTTGACAGATGTTTTTTGTTAGTACGAGAAAAATAAAACCAAAGCATGTTTCATTTCAGTTTCTTATTACAGTACACAATTATAACTAGTATCAGAGTCAAAATATAGTACATTCTCGAACTTTTTGCATAACTTTTCAACAGAAAAAGATGAAGACTTGCAGGTTTCACTGTTCGAGAGAGAAGACTTGGGACAATCTTTTCATTAAAAAAAGTATTGAAAAATATCACCACTGTAGCGGACAAATCTTTTTTGATCCAACCACCGTTTAAAAAACTCGTATCATATTCTGAACTTAAATTATATGGTTAGATAGGCCAAAATGTCCTCTATCGATCTGCGCAAGTCCGAGATCGGTAGTTTTCTCCGTTATGGAGAGGGCTCAGTTTTTCTGAGACAGACCTATCCCCTTATTTTCAACTTGCGGAACCTCGAAAATAACTGGAAATATAGGCTACCGACTATGCTGAATGTTGTGGTAACGGTTGTCTTTTGAGAAAGTTACACATACTTAGTGAACAGATGAATTGTGAAAACCTAATACAAAATAATTAAATAAACAATAAAAACAAAAGATGAAATAATCCACTTTTGCCTATTTTTTACGTAAAACTAGAAAATTCATAACTCAGTAAAAACCTCTCCAACCTACGCCAGAATATCGATATACTTTCTTCCATGTGCTCACCCTGATTGTGTACTTATTATTAGTAAAAAATATTCTTTTACTTCGAAAGATTTCTGTAAAAGTTCTTCAAAAACCAAAGTATTTTCTATTGGTTTTTAAAATTTTTATCGAACTTCATAATATAGTTTAGATAAAGTAGAATATATCTCGATATCTTAACGTAGGTTGGAGAGACCTTGACTGAGTTATAAATTGTCTAATTTTACGTAAAAAATAGGCAAAAATGGATTATTTCGTCTAGTGTAGGTTTTCACAATGCATCTGTTTTCACCGAGTTTGTGTAAATTTCTCAAAAAACAACCGTTGTAACAACATCAAAAAAGATTTGTCCGATACAGTGGTGATATTTTTCAACATTTTTTTAATGAAAAGGTTGTCCCAAGTCTTCTCTTTCGAACAGCGAAAGCGCAAGTGTTCGTCTTTTTCCGTTGAAAAATTATGCAGAATGCTCGAGAGTGCACGGTATTTTGAAACCAGTTCTAGTTAAAATGCTAAGTTTTTTGACGTCCAAAAAAGTCTATCCGTTTATTTGTATGCAAAAGTTATGTGTTTTGTAACTATTGTGCAACTTGTGTTTTGAAGAAATCATTGGTTTTATATACAGATGAATGCACATAAAGGAGATGAATGACTTCTACGTCAGTTATAGAAGACAGGTAAACGTTTTGCAGAGATGGGCATCTTAAAATCGGACTAACGCAAATAAAGAAAGACGAATGTTTATAGTGAGCCATATAGCAGGAATCGGATTTTATTCAAAGTGTGAGGCAAATTGTTTACATTAATGCAGAGTTAACTGAAATTTAAAATGAGAATAGTATACTGAATACTGGACATATTGAGATATGTCTCGACAAATTTCATCATTTATCGTACGACAAACGAATATTAAAAAGTGTTCTGATACGCCTATCGTATATTGTGATAATGAGACGGAGGCTGTTGTTGGTATTGAGTGGACACCTACAATTCTTAGGCAATAAAACATCTGATAACAATTGGCACAGCTCTCGATTGCTAACCATTACGTGTTGAATCTTGTGCTATTTGTTTACTAAATTTGGTATTTATTGTTGCTTGTTGTATGGAAGTAATCAAAACATTTCTCAAGTTTAAAAGCAACTGAAAATCACCGTGTTTAAATATACCTGTATATAATGATATTTGTGCACTGATGGACTACAGGATTGAGATCAATGAGTAAAACAAATTTGTTTCCTGAAATTTTTTCGAGACAATATTTCATGCGTTATTTGTTGTCTCTTGTATTTTGATTAGGTCCAAATCAATACAATGCCAATATCATTCCGCTCAACGATGATATTAAACAACGTTCACGGAGGATTAGTGAGACACTGTAAAAAATCCAGTATTCACCGATATAACTATCTTAAATTACGTGTGCTGAATGATTAAGCAATTTTTATTATTACATACCCATAGAAAAAACCTTATGAATATCGATGAAATAGCAGATAAATTTGTCAAAGTACACATTTAGATACTAACATTTTCGTGTGGTTTTCAACACAAATTGAACAAAATACTATTCTATAGCTATTGAAATGACGATTTTGTCGGTCAAGATAAACTTTCATTAAACTTCCTTTCATTAAGTGCCACTGTCAACGTAAATCACATTGATGCTAGCGCTTAATAAATTTTAATGAAAGATTATCTCGATCGATTTTGTCAATTTGCCAAAACACGTCGTACGATACGCTAGGCACAAACATTGGCGCATTAGGAATAGCATTAAGGACAACGTGATTTCACGTTGACACTAGCGTTTTGCGTTTAACTTTTACACCTGGCGTATCTTTTTTAACTGAAGTTTAGTCAAAGTGGTCTAAACCACTTCAATGTCCATACAAGTTTCGCAAAACTTGATCCTCCACCTGTCCATTAGTTTCTTGGAAGTTTTCAAAAGAACGCTATGATAAAAACGGGTTAAATTCTGTTTTAAAATGCTGTCCTTTCTTTGATGAATTTTTCTCTTAAACTGAAAAATTTCAAAAATATGAAAACAGAGGTCGTGCTTAAGTTTAACATTTTATTTGTTTGTTCAAAAATTGAATCTTTCATCTCTGATTGGTACATTTACCACTTCTCCTATAAGGTTAACCTAGCACTATTTTTCGAACTATCTGGTAATACACTGTTTTTCTCGATTTGTTTTCGAATAAAAATAACAAACAACAACAAAAACAGTATTTTTTTTGTAAGAAGTTCAAAGTATTGAATGTATATCATTACTTCTGTATAATTCCGCTATTGTTTCAAACGAAATAACTGGATGTACGAAGAATGGAGAGCTTTTTTGCTCACTGTTTCAGCCAAAAGATAAAGTTTCTTTGAGTTCAATGAGATGAAGCGAAAGAGAAACATGTTTATAGAGAATAAGGCTTGGACTATTCGATGCTATGGGGCACATGACGTCATCGTTCTACATTCGATGTTTGTAGTTGTTGTTTACTTTTTCTTTCTTTTTCATTCTTGGTTTGGTTTTTTCCTATTTATTTATTTTACTTTTCTTGTTATGCTCTTTTATGTACACCTAGATCTTAGCGGGAGTCATCGTCTTGCAGATTATAATCTTTGATGAACTTTCACCCATTGATGATTAAAATAAATTATTATGATTATTACTATTACTATTACCTTTTTTCTGCGTAGTTTTGAGTAGATTGAGACACGCATGTGTTTTTACTTGTTTCAGATATATTTTGTCACATAAATTTTTATTCTGTGGTTGTTCGTGCTTTAAAATCAAAAAAAAGATTGATAAAAGTATAACATCTTTTCAGTTATAACTAAGTATTTTAAAGAATATTTTAATCGTTGAAAGTTGAATCTGTCTCCACATCATCCTCAAGGGATGAATTTGGATTCGCTATCCATAGCGCTAGCACAAATATCCTATACTGTGCAAACGTTATCAAAGAAAAATTTCAAAGCAGCTGTGTCTGAAATAACTACAGTAAGAGAATTCTTTTAACATCATTCAATTTTGTCTTACATTCATTCAATTTTGCTTTTAGCTTATATCAACTCATGGCTTCGAAGCTGAACGGCATCTATATCGTACATTAATTACAAATATCGATTTTACACTCGATAGTAATAATCCCAAAAATCGCGATAGTATCCATGTCCAATATTTAGTACAAGAAGTTCCGTCCTTAATATCGAGACCAAATTTTGTTACATTGGTTTGTTATTCATTCGATACAGCAATAACACAAAAGGTAGAAAGCCAAACTTAGAAACTCTTATTTATACCTCGTCTGTACAATGACTATGTGTTTTCTTTTTTTCTTCACTAGTTATGGAAAGTAACGTCAAGTTTTTTCTCAACTATATGCAAATTGCTCAAATTAAGTCCAATACAAGAAATATTATTTGCACTAGCCCTAGAACATTCAACAAATCAAGATTTAGCTAGTGTATCAACCGAGTATATACGACAAAAATTGCCAGAACTGTTACGTATTACACTTGAATTTGGTATGTATTGCAACGTTTGTTGTGATTGGTTTCTTGTTCAAAATGAAGTATTCTATTTTTTCGTTTTCTATAGATAATGCCGCAACCGAAACTGGTTTAAACGATTTACCCGTTGAACTTCTTCACTCTCTTCTTGTTCATATCAAACAATTGGCTGAACCATCGACACAGTCATCGTCCACATCGTCGACTACAGATGTTGTAGCAACATCAAAAACAATAGATCCTCTAATTAAACCTGAACATTATGAACAATTAGTTACACTATTAAGAAAAGGTATTAACATTCGTTTATTTACTTTTCATAAATTATCTAACAACACTTTTAAATAATGTTTAGAATATCCAAAAGAACGATTATCTCTTGGTCATGTTATTTTATCACCATTACTTTATCCCACATCATTTAATTCAACACCAAATCAATTATTGTCAGATTCAAGTAGTTTATCAACAGCTGTGGTATGCAATGGACTATAAACACCGATACATCTTTTTCTTATTCTAAATCCTTTTGTTTTTCTTAGTGGCAAATGGATGCATCGCTCGCTGATGTTGTAATCGAAATGGGTTATAGTTTCACTAGCAGGTAATTGTATTGCCAACTTATTTGTAATAAAATATTGATTATAGTTTTTTTCAGCATCGAAGAATGTCGAAATGCTCTCGTGCAATTTGGTGTTCAAGAAATTAAACCACTGAATATAGCTAGAATACTCGGTGCTATGGCTAAAACGCATAATGGTTTAATCGAAAATACAGTTATTTATGTGCGTACCTGATACCACACAACAGCAAGAAATCGTTAAACTATTGTTGTTTTTTCTTTGACAGAATTTAAACAGTCAAGAATCGAATAACAGTGAAAAACCGACAAATCAATCACAAACATGGAATGTTGAAATATTTGTTCATGCTGTGAATGATTTGGTAAGATGAATAATCTTATTTTTTTTCTTGTAATTAATTCATCCTTCTTTTTCTGTTATCGTCTATAGGCACCAAATATGAATTGGAAAGATGTTTTAAAAGAAATGGACTATAATGGCTTCATCATAAAAGATCGTCAGTCACTGGTATTGATTGTGAATGCTTTTAAACGTGCTTTACCAGATGGAATCCCAATTGATTTGCTTTATACACGATGGCATAATGCTGAAGGCCAAGTACGATTTTTTGTACCATTTATCTTTGAATATTGCTATTTTACATTACAATAATACCGTCAATTTTTCTCATCGTTGTTTTAGTTATCTTGGTTTGCTCAAGCCATACGCAATCCGGATATATTTTGTTTTGGTGATTATCCCGCTCATCCTGTGAACATCGATTGTTTAAAACATCCACCAGATGATAGTAAAGAAACATGGACTTGGTAAGAATCTAATAGTACCTGAACAAAATGAGACACAACTATTACTTTTTTAAATTGTATTAAGGCGTTCATTAAATTTGTTGGAATGTTTGTTACGAATATCAGAGTCGGGATTATATCAACCAACATTAGAACTATTTAAAATTGCTCTACAACGTTGCGCAGAAGTTCTTTTACTTGGCTTACTGCAACTACCTGTAAGATAACTTGTCTTTTCACTTATCAGGACGCGTATAAATGATAAATGTCTTATTATTTAGAATATTTGGGATTCGTTAAAACAGGAACTGTTACAAATTTTAATACCGTCATTTCTTCCAAATAGTCCAAATTCAAATGCTATACTGAACTACATATGGAATTCTCAAGTATGTTTTGGATTAAGGAGAGTTAAATTTTGAAAATTTAACTCTCTAGTCTTTCAAGTATCTCATGATCACTTATCCTTTTTGTGGAAGTTTTAATTGATCAGTTGCTTTTGGTCACTCTTGTGCTCACTTGTTGCTGATTTTTTCATTTTCTCTAGCATCATACAACAGCTTTACGTACAACACTTTTAACATCGATGGCTGATTGGTATAATCGTTCAAGCGAAAGTGATCAACAACAACGTTTAAGTCGTGTATTAGAAGTTGTGCAAGATTTAAAAACATTACCAACATTATTAAATGCACAACCTATGCCATTTATTATCGACCTAGCCTGTTTAGCATCCAGACGTGGCTATTTAAAATTAGATAAATGGTTATCAGATAAACTACGTGATCATCAAGTACGTATTTCTCTTGTGTTAAACGACTCTGATTGTGTATGTATATTATTCTGATGTTAGGAAATGTTTGTTCAAAATACCATACAATTTTTACGTAAAAAAGTTCCACAATTATCAGCAACAAATCTCAAAGAGACGAATAATGGTGAAATAACAAATGGAATACCGATATTTAAACCATTGATTAATCATGACACAATAATGATCATTTTAACTGTATTGCACGCAACAACATCTAGTGTCAGCGCTGATTTAGCACAAGAAATTCACACCATGTTAAACAATGCGTCATTGATAACAGCTGAACAACACCGTTTAGCACAATCTACAAATAACCCAACACCGCCGCCACTGCAAACGGGAACTTCTTCGTCAGCTCTCACACAGCAAACACAACCGTCAAGTGGTATGATGCCTGCAATATCACGAATGAACAATGGCACTCCGACAGGAATAAAAGATCAAGAAAATCAGCCATCGTCTATGTATCAGAATGTTACAAATCCATTATTTAATCCATCTTCACAGACAAATTATCCACCCATATCTTTGAGTCCGTCGAATATATTTAATAGTAATCCGACACACCCAACGAACCAATTATCCGAGCCAACAAATCAACGTCAGATGTCATTACCTCTAGCACAACAGCAACAACAACAGCAGATGTTTCCTGCACAGTCCTTTATGCAATCACCAACAGGCTCAAATATATTTCCTCGTACATCAATGAACATTTCTCGATCACAAGGTAAGAACATACATCGTAAAAAAAAAATTACTTTTCACCGATTAGCAATTTCAAATCTTATGGTGAAGTAGCTGTATTGATTTCGTTTTTATTTTTTTTGTAAGTACTGACAGATAATTATAAAGTTGACTGTAACAGTCATGCATTCTCTTCTCACTCGATAAGATATTGAATCTGGGAACCTAGCGAGCTTACAGAATCTTAGAGAATCTGTCATATCGCCAAAATGCATAAAGTATCTTGTGAAAATTCATCTAATAAGTTGGAAAAGTGTCAAAATCTTTGGGTGGTTTCTGGACATTGGTGTCCACATTCTCATAGTAATATGGTGCATTGAAGTGAATGAGAAAATAACTGATGTATATTTATAGGATAAAGTCCTTTTTCTTAATATATGAAAAAACGTACAAATCTATATTCAGAATAGAACAGAACTTGCTCTCATACATGCACCTTATGCTTAGTAACAGAAATCAATGGTAGTTTCCAGTCTGAAAATGAGATTTCTCACTTTATTTCGATTAATTTTGTTCTTTTTCGATGATGTTCGCAAGCTATTCTATATTCTATATTCGGCAGTTCTCTAAATCCTCAAATTCTGCACTTTCTCTACAATATATCAGTTGATTTTAACATCAGCTGTTTTCTTTCTTTCTCTCTCGAACAGATGGTTACAAGTAATTATTATTTTAACACGATCGTATTACACAGTATAGAAAACGGACAAATGATGATCATAAAACCGAATAATATAACATGCTATTAATCAGTGCGATGTAATGGTATATAACCTCGTGGTTTTTAACTCGCAATTTTTGTCTAGCTGATAAATTTCTTGAATAAAGACTTCCTGTTTTAAAGTAAACACGTTAATTGAACAAATCTAAGTACGCATTACATTGAAATTAGTATTAATATTGTTAAAAAGCTCATTTTCGAAAAAATTCTTTATAGTGGATTTCCATTATGTTAAATAATTAAGCTTAATTTCATTTTCTTACGTTATAATTTTGATCTTCTTAGAAATTTCTAGTAGTAAGTTCTTTTTTTATATTACTCACTTACTCAGTGATGTTTTCCTACTCGGAACGAAAAATTTATCTTTTCTAGTCGTTTGTGCACCAACTTATGAAAATCGAAGAAATTCCAGTAGTTTGTTCTCTTTGGAAAAAATGTCTTTTCAACACTATGGAACGTACAAATATTTCTTTTTTTTTGTTTGAACATCTAAGTTGTCAGAGATATACATCCTAAAAGTTTTATTTTTGCAGATTTGACATGAAATTTTCTTATACCCAGTTCTAATTATGTGGTGAAATATGATCTACATTTTTTTTCTATCTGGTTTTGAGTTCTATATAATTTTCTTCTCTTTTTATGTTTTCATCTTCATCATTGCCTGTACATAGTCACATTAGATACATGTTGTCTTTTTCTTCTGAACCGAATTTCTTTCTATACGTTTTATAGTGGAAAAATATATGTATGTTAAAGAAAAGGATAGAGAAGAACATCGTAGACAATAGACGCGAGAACGAAGCGCAAATAGTTAAACTTTATATTTTATACCTATACGATTGACACTAGTCCTGAAAGAAAAGTTTTCTTGACAAAGATTTCTTTTTTTGATAAACAAATCAGTGACTCATACATACCAAAATTAAAAATCAAAATAAACCATGTGCATCACCCTTAACTAGGTTTTCCTTTTGTACACGAGGGATGCTTTTTCATACGAAAGACAAGTATACAGTATTTATTTTCTCTTCATAAAGTCTCTTTCAATACACACGCGCACACAGTAAAACAAGAGAAAACTGTAAATTGTCTAGACTGTTCACAGTCTTTATGTGTTGTTGTTGTTTTGATTCAAATAATGGAATCGATATTATTATTGGCAACAACAAATGAAAACATACTTAGTGAGAAAATAGAAGGCATGAGACATTTTTTACAATTATAATTATTTCCTTTTTTTTTTGCATTGAATTCTTTCATCCGCACGTAGACACATATCGAAATAAACGAGTGGAATCTGCACGCAGATATTTATTTTTCTCTTCTCTTTTTTTTTTTTTGTGGAACTGCAACTTGATGAGTTTATAGATTGAGAATTGCTTTTTTTTTCTTTTGTTTCTTCGTGTTTTTTTTTTCTTTTTCTGTGGCTGATGATCGTTTCTTCGAACACTATTATGCTCAAGTGTGAGAATAAAAAAATTAATCTTATTGTTGTTGTTTTTGTTTTTATATTGTTCGTTATCGAATATTGATGATGGAAATCTTGAGTATTCAGTACAGCCTGAAAATAACTCGGGGAGTTTAAGTTGTGAAGCAGACGCATAACATTTTTAAGAAAATCACATTTTAAAGTGGCTTATCGTGACTTTTTTTACGATACAATCATCTTAGAGATCAGCTTCAACAGTTTTTGAACGTCTGCTAGAATAATACGAATCTATAGCAGATCACAATCGTAAATACTGCGACTAGAAGTGAAGAGAATATAATCTTGGTTTTAAGCGGCTTAAGAAAACTGTTCAATTGTACTAGTTGATTACGATGTTTTGTACGATTGTATTGTACGATGATTACGCATGATAGTAAGTAGATACTCATGCTTCTCTTGTGTTCTAGGCAATTTGAATGCCTTGACCAATGATCCACTGTTAAGTCAACACATGGGAAATACAGGTGCCAACAACATAGCCGGTGTATCCGCCTCTAGTCATTTATCAAATTCAGATATTGCCGATGTTGATGTTTATTTTAAACGTTTATACAGCAAAACAAATAATCCACCACCAATTACTGTTGATGACTTTCTTGACATATTCACTCGTTGTCGAGAGTCGACAATTCCAAGAGAAAAGGTAAAATTTTCTTTTCAATAATTAAAAACTAAAATAATTTTTTTAGGATGTGTTTCACAATGGTGTAAAAAATTTATTTGATGAGTATAAATTTTATCCACAATATCCCGAGCGAGAATTACATTTAACGGCTCAATTATTTGGTGGTTTAGTCGAACGTAATCTGTTACCACCACAAATTATTACTGCCGCTTTTCGAGCTATTAACGAAGGTTTAAAAAAACCACCATCACATAATTTATTTGTATTTGCTGTGACAGCACTCGAACGTTGTAAATTAAGGTAGAAAAAATTTGGAAATTTGAGTAACATATTTTGTGTTTAACGATTATGTTGCTTGTTTTTAGACTTCGTGAGAATATTCAGTATTGTCAATTATTCAAAACTGCTCAATCCTACCGCGATTTACCATCGAATCTTCGAGATTATATTGATTACGGTGCATTAGGTGAATATCCGCCTAATCAACTAAATAACAATCAATTAATCAGTTTACAACAACAACAAACACGAACACTAACACCAACTCCACAACAGTCAACATTATTGTCTAGTAGTAACCAACAATCATTATCACCATTGCCAAATGTACAAAGTACCTTTCCAAAAATAAATGCAACACAAATACCGAACCAACTTCCACCATATTCTACGACGAGAGCTAATACAACGACAGGCGTAATAGTACGGCATCTTGCTTTCTTTCTTTTTGCCATTAAAACAACGATCTCTATTTTCAATTTTCTTTTCAGCCATCTGTAGCTCAAAGTGCAAATATTAGTTCATTATTAAAAGCACCAAGTTATGAAAAAGTTCGTGTCCCACCACCACCCGAAAGCATTCAAGATAAAGTCTCATTTACATTTAACAATTTATCATTTGCAAATCTTAGTCAAAAAGTATGTGCTGTTAATTTAGTTTCAATGCTAGTCATTTATGATTATTTTGTTATTAAAATTTAGGCTGATGAATTAAAAGAATCGATGCAAGATGATAAATATTGGCAATGGGTAGCACAATATTTAGTGATGAAACGTGTTTCAATTGAACCTAATTTTCATACACTCTATGCCGGTTTTGTATCAACATTAAATGTTCATATATTATTCGATACTGTGTTGGGTGAAACACATCGAAATATAAAAGTAATAAAAAATGACTTTCTGTTCTATATTTTTTCCCTCATATTTTTATTTATTTCAGATATTATTATTGGGTGATAAACAAATGAATAATATACCAGATCGTGCATTACTCAAAAATCTTGGCCATTGGCTTGGAATAATAACAATTGGAAAAAATAAACCCATATTAGCTATTGTATGTATAAAAAAAAAGATTTTATTTTGATAAATAATGTAAATGATGTGAAATATTTCTAGGATTTAGATCTTAAATCATTAACAATTGAAGCCTATCATACAGGCTCACAAGAATTACTTTATGTTGTGCCATTTATTGCAAAAATATTAGAATCCTGTACTCGTAGCAAAGTAAATTTGAATTTTTACTAGATTATGTTCATTAAAAAATAATATGATATGTTTTTTCTTCTACAGATATTTCAACCACCAAACCCGTGGTTAATGGGTATTATGTCTGTTTTGGCTGAAATGCATCAATCACCTGAATTCAAATTAAATATGAAGTTTGAAATAGAAGTGTTATGTAGACAGTTACAAATACAATTGAACGTAAGTGAAAGATTACGATAGCGAAGATTAGTCTCACAGTTAAATATTCAAAAAGAATTTCTATGCTTTCAGACGAATGACTTATGAGTATAAGAGATTTGCTTCAAGTTCCTTTTACGACTTATGGCATTTTTTCTTTCCAGAAGAAAATCTCAAAGATTTTAAAACTTTTTTCTCGGTTCGGCATAGACATCAACGAGAGCATTAGCTTTTCCCAAGTGTTCAATTTGATGTGATCTATGAATTAATAGTTTAAGTGTTTTTTTAGGATCTACCTATTCCTCACATATTACAAAATAAAGAATATTTTGAAAAACTCGATAAACAATTATCTCGTCCTGCACAATTATCAACATCACATATTTCATTAGGTATGTTACATTTTTCTGCTTTACAACAACAAGATCAAACAGTAAATAGTCTCATATCTTCTGTTCAAGGACAACAACAACACGATCAACAACAACGTCAACAAGGACAATCATTGGCATTAAATGATCCTGCTATTATTCAACAATCTCCATCCTATCACCCACCTTCAAATGCTTTACAGTCAGCATCTACCACAACCTCTTCGACCAGTATACCCAATGCAATCTTGACAGTGCCATCGTCAAACGTGAATGGTGCAACTGCGTCAACAAATAATGCTACTGTACCAGTACCCTCACAACCCCAATATAAATTATCCGATTTTAAATCATCTATATTTCAAAGTTTATCGACGATGTTAGAAATTAATCCAAATTTATTGTTATTTCAACATCATCCACGTTTAAAAACTTATATTCATTCACCAATTGAACAAGCTATTAATGAATCATTAACAACTGTACAACGTTCATTAAAAGTAGCTACGAGTGCAGCTGAAACAATTGCACGAAAAGATTTCATGTTTAATCCCGATGAACAACAATTGCGTACATCAGCTCGTAATATGGTTGCATATTTGAGTAGTGGTCTAGTACTAATTACAGCACGTCCAGCATTACAAGAACAAATACAAACATATATTCGGAATCATTTGCAAACTGTACTAGGTGTTACACAGAATTCAAACGAAACAAATACAAATTCAAACGCAGCATCATCAACAACTTCCGGAAATTCAGATTTAAATGCAAAAACGCGTGAAATGATCAATCAAGCTGCTAATGAAATAGCACAATCAAATATTGAATTATGTTGTTGTCTATTACAACGAATAACAATTAGTCGTGCTATACAACATATCGATACACGTTTGTTATCGGATATTGAACAAAGACAACGTTCACGTTTAGAACAAAAGCAGTGGAATGTTGATCCATATAATTATAATTTTCAATCAGAAAAATTACCAGAACAAATACGTTTAAAATATGGACCATTGAATTCACATCAGTTAGCCATTTATGAAGATTTTGTACATTATATACCCGGTTTCAAACCGTCAGATAACGAAAAGCGAGAATCTCTACAAGTATGTATCTAGTAACCAAAATAAAATTGTGTAAAATTTATTCGGTACTAATTTCTTTTGTTTAATTAAAATCTTCTCAAGTAAATTGAAATAAAGTATTAGATCTTTCAGATCTGTGTGCTAGACTTTGCTCAATAAAGAAGAAGAAGATTGTTTTTGTTATGCTTCTATTCTATTTCTAACTAAATTTAGTGTATTAAAAAACGTTTCTCAATGTTTAGATGGAAGACAATAGTCCATCCTTATGGGATCGTTTAATCAGCGATATTGAGCAAGTTATTCAATCACAAGTCAATCTTACATACAATGCGCCACTACAACGTCTGATTGATTCACTGACTATATTGCGCACAAATTTACAAACTTTACCATCGGCGGCTCAATCTGCTCTGGCCACTGTTTTGAATACAGTGAGTGTGTTGTAATTATTATTATTTTTATAAGTAATTTTTATTTTTTTTGTCTTCTCTGTTTAGATCGTCTATAATTTATTAGAATATTATACTCAACAAGCACAGTCTCAAGATAGCGAAGGTGCAACTCGTTTTCGTGATGTCCATATGGCCGTATTAAAATTGTTAATTGATATAAGATTACAAATAACTGTGATAACAAAACAATTGACAAAGTATATTTTGAGATATACATATGCTTTTACTAGTTTGATTACTTATTTTTATATAGATGTTGGCTTGATTGTCCAAACGAACTTAAATTCAATGTTCACGCTGTAAATACATTAATCCGAAATCGATTATTAGATTGTAGACAAGTTGATGCACATATTTCACAAGTAAGAATGATTTAGTTTCTTCAATTTGATTCTCATTTTTTTTATCATTTTCTCGTAGTTGATCGATAGTGGCAATAATCCAGCATTGCATTTTGCTGTACATTTCATTCGCTCATGTCTTATTGAGCAACCAGCATGTTCCGACAGTGATATTTCCTCTATTATTGAATCATTACATCGTATATCATTAATTGGAAAACAACCAGCCGAAGCGTAAGTGGACTACATGTTTTCTATGAATATTTGTTAATATATGTTTTACTATAGCGTTCGCGATTTACTTGAAATAATAAGACTGAATTATGCATCATCATCTGCGTCATCAACTGATAGCTCGACATCTGCTTCGTCAACGACGACGACAACGACAAATTCATCATCAACCACCACAACAAATGCAAATACGGCTACAACACCAACAGCAAACGAGACAAACACAACAACCCCGGTGAATAAAATTGATCGTCTTGTTATTATTTCATTATCGGTTATCAATAGTGGTTCAAAATATCTCAACAATGATGAAATCGAAACGACAACAATTGCCGCTAAAGCCAAACTTATTCTTAGTGAATGGGTTAATATAACAATTACACAGGCAAATCGAATAGCTCAACAACAAGCGTTTCAGAATGTTTTTAATCAAGTAAGCAACATTAGTTATCAAGAATTCTTTTAGAAAGTCAGTTTCTCGGTCCCTGATCTCTTAGAAGTTCGAGATAAATGTGAAAAGTTTATTAGCAAGTAAGGACAGTTCGTGTTTTAAATACATTCTACTACTCTCTACCTGAGTTACCTCTATTTAGGCTGTGCTGCAGTAAGAGACTGTTTTCTACTCTGTTTAGTAAAATTTTTCAGACTATCAAGAACATCATGTAGAGAATACGTAGATTTTTAACCCCATTTGTTGCTCTTGACGTCTATTTTCATTGGTTTTTTTTTATAGATGAATATTCAAGGCATATTTCGTTCTGATGATACAATAGCAAAATTTTTACGTATGACGATTCAATTGTGTGTTAATAGTGTTTACGATATTATACGTAGTACACCAGCCAATCAACCACCACATTATATACGTTGTCATCAAGGAATAGAGAGTTTATGTCGTTTTTTATCATTGTTAACAACCCATACGTCAGATTTATCCAATTTTGCTGCTAGAATACATTTAATTAATAGAATATTAGGAATATTAGCGGCACTCTGTCAGGTTGATCATGATGATCAACAAAGTGATCAATTTCATCCTATTGCTTATCAACGTATTATATTAAATTTATTTCAAGAATCAACAGCATCTGAAAATACAAATGATCATGTCATGTATTACATTTATCTGGCATTCACGTACGTTATACTGTTTATCTTATTAGTTCAAGAATCAAAAGATCTTTTTTTTGCTATTATTTTAGGAATGTTTTGCATCTGTTACGACCACAACGTGTAACTGGTTTTTCCTTTGCTTGGTTAGAAATCGTTGCACATAGAGCATTTATGTCGAAATTATTGGCACCCAATTCAAAATATATTCGTCAGGTAAAAAAATGTCTCGGTCTTCTTCTAGATAGATGGAGAACAAATATTTATTGAGCTCTTATTTGTTATATTATCAGTCTTATTCTTAAATTATAGACACAAAATATGTATGCATTGTTATTGGTTGATGCTTTACGATTAGTTGCACCATTCATTCGTAGCGGAGAACATACACAAAGTTTTCAAGTCTATTTTAAAGTAAGTAAAGTAAAAGAAAAAAAAGAAATTCTCTCTTTGACTATAATATCTAATTGTACTAGGGTGTATTGAAAACATTCATGTTATTACTACACGATTTTCCAGAATTTTTATGTGAATATTATTATCATTTTTGTGATGCATTACCATTAGTTGCACATCAATTACGTAACATTGTATTATCAGCTTTTCCAAAACAAATGCGTTGTCCCGATCCATTTTTAGTTAATTTTAAAGTAGATATGTTAAATGACATTAGTTATAGTCCATTTATAGCATACAACTATTCGAACAATATACAACCTCCAAAATTTAAAGCGGTAAGTAATTGAAAACTTGGATATTTCTTGACAAGCAGAAAAAATTAAGATCTATATCTTTCTGAGAAAATTTGTTGCCATCTTTATGTATGATGAATCGTATTATGGTTTAATCAGATGCATTTAGTAAACATAGTAATATTTTGCTGTTTTCTTTATTAATCTTATTGTTATTTTTTTATTTAGAATCTCGATTCTTATCTTCGTACTCGTGCTCCCGTGACATTTTTATCTGAATTACGTTCATGTTTACAACAAGGAGCTGATCCCGGTAGTCATTATAATATTCGTATGATCAATGCTCTTGTGTTATATGTTGCATCACAAGCTATTACGGCTATACAACAGAAAGGCTCACAAGTATTAGTCGGTTCTATAACACATTCGGCGCCAATGGATATCTTTCAAAATTTAGCTGTTGATCTTGATACAGAAGGTAAAGAGAAATGCTATTTTCTCAATATATTGCTTTATTAACTTATTTTTTTTTTCATCTTTTTAGGGCGCTATATATTTCTCAATGCCATGGCCAATCATTTGAGATTTCCCAATACTCATACACATTATTTTAGTTATACACTTTTGTATTTATTTGCTGAAGCTAATTCAGAATCATTGCAAGAACAAATTGTTCGGTATGTATTTGAAAAATTAGTAAAATCTAATTAATCATTATTTCTACTGTCTCTTTAATTTAAGTGTTTTACTTGAACGTTTGGTTGCTAATCGTCCACATCCATGGGGTTTATTAATAACATTTCTTGAGCTTGTACGAAATCCACATCTTAAATTATGGTCACGCGAATTTATGAATATTTCTCCAGATGTCAAGAGGTTTGTTTATTGTTTTTAGTAATTTACAATAATTTATTTTCATATTTGTTTTAGGTTATTGCATACATTGACTCGTGGTTTTCCACAATTTCAAACAACAAAAACGTGAAAAACTCAGATCGAATAATCAAATTTTTCTCTTCTATTTCAAAATCCTATATACAGCGTATTTTTTAACTAAAATTTTTTTCTCTTATGTATTTTATTTTGCGATGGAAAAACAAAACACCATTGTATTTTGTTCGTATTAGTTTTCTGTGTATTGTATAGTTCTGTAGAGAAAAAACGATCGATTCTCATCCCATTCATTTTTTTTATAGTCATTTTCATTTTTTCATGTAAAAGCATACACATTCACTGTTTATATATCAAATACGCATCTAACATTGTTCGTCTGTTCAAATAAATCTATTGTTGTTCTTGTTGTTGTTCTTGCTTTTTTTTTTCTTTTTTAAAATTATCTATTGACACATGGGTTTTTTTTTCGTTTTTTTTCTTTTATTTGTTATTAATCGTTATAAGAAAAGAAGCTAGTTGAGTATGATTACAAAATTTGTCGAACTCGTTCGCTTTTCTTCGTTGCATTTTTCTCGTGATCTGTACGGTTATTCGTTGTGAAACGTGTTTGTCTTTTTTCTTTTTTTTTGTTTCATTTCTGTATTTCATTGTTTATAACCTCCCTCTGCGTGTGTGTGAGTGTGTGTATGTCTTCTCTTGATTGAGATTACTAGTAAATGTTTAAAACAAGAAACCAAAATTAAATTTTTAACAGAAAGTTATAAGAGGTTATAATAAATACACAACCTGGTTTGTCGTTCGTCTAATATCAAATATCTTGAAATTTAAACACTAATTCAACCATTTTCTGCATGATGATGCTGTACGCAATCCATAAAATTAGCACTTTTTCTATACTTACGTTAAAAAAAACATTTATCCTTTTACAATTCAAATATTTTTAATTAATCATTCGTGTTTGATGTAAATAGTTGAAAAGAGAAACTGTTATATCATTTTAGACATTTTGAGAACTTTGATGTCTATTGTCAATGACATTATTCTTGAACTAAAGACTACTTCCGTGGTAAAAATTCATTAATTCAAAAATTAAACGGATTTTCATCGTTTTTTAAAACATAATGATTCTATTTTTATTCTGTACTGGTCAAGAAGATTGAAGATTCATTTCATTTAATAGAGTGCTCAGAGCTTCCGATCGTTTTTAGTCAATGTGGAAAGTCTTTTTAAAAAGAATTGAAACATTTGTGTTTATATGCCAATAACTGACAAATAATTAGGACTTAAAAAACTGTCCACCACTTATTTTGATGGTCAGCAAAGATCTGGCGCATAAAAGTGTTAAAACTTAAGGTAGAGAGAGTTTTCTCTATCGTTATCGAAAATCCTAGGAGTGTCATTCAGAATAAAATTATTGTAATAACTAAAATCTCTCAACTTTTTTAACTTTTGTGGTGAACTTTTATTACATTCTATTTTAGATATATGCTATTTGGTTTATAATACGATTTAGTTTAATAGAGAAACTGAGCAAACGGATGTGAGTGTGTAAGTTCCACAATGTTTGATTATCAGCGGATTGTATGTATTTTCTATAAAAAAAACTTTTCCTACATCTGTAAGAAAGAGAGAGAGAGAGAGAGAGAGAGAGAAGTAGAACATTTTGCATCTCATTGCTCATTGGTAGTTTTTTTTCTCTTATTATAAATCAAGTATCTAATTCTTTATTTCTAGGCATAATCAGCGCAAATTGATCAAATGTAATTTTTATCGTCTCATCTTAAAATCACACTATCGTTTATGTTCAACGAAATCAACATCAACAATTCAATGGCCGTCGACAAATGTTCGTCGAACATTTGTCGATTATTTTGTCAACGAACATCAGCATACTTATATACCATCATCATCCGTAATCCCCCCTAAAGATTCTGGAACATACTTTGTTAATAGTGGAATGAATCAATTTAAAAATTTATTTTTACAAAAACAGAGACCAGAAGATTATATTTATAAACGTGTTGTAAATTATCAAAAATGTATACGTGTTGGTGGAAAACATAATGATTTAGATGATGTTGGAAAGGATACTTACCATCATACATTCTTTGAAATGTTAGGAAATTGGTCGTTTGGTGGTGATTATTTTAAAGAGGACGCCTGTCATATGGCATTAGATTTATTAACACGTGTTTATGGTTTGAAGAAAGAACGATTATTTATAACATATTTTCAAGGCAATGAACAAATGAATATACCAGAAGATAGTGAAACACGTGACATTTGGTTAAAACTCGGTATACTTAAACACAATATACGACCATTTGGTATGAAAGAAAATTTTTGGGAAATGGGTGAAACTGGTCCATGTGGACCATGTACAGAAATTCATTATGATCATTTGGGTTTGAATGATCCGAGTTTGGTTAATAGAGATGATCCAAATGTTGTTGAATTATGGAATCTTGTTTTTATGCAGTATGAACGTCGAACAGATAAGTGTAAGTTAATAAAAAGTCTATGTAATCTTGAATACAGTTAAAATAGTCAAAACGTTTATATAAATGTTTATATTAGTATACTAAACTAGCTATTCTTTTATCGTAGTTTTTCGGTGAATAGTCTATTACATTTGGTTATTTGTTTTTTTTAGCTCTTTGTCCATTACCTCAATATCACGTTGATACGGGTTGCGGACTTGAACGTTTAACAGCCGTATTAAATGGAAAAATATCAAATTATGATACCGATTTATTTCAACCATTATTTGATAGTATTCATTCGTTTTGTTCTTCATCATTTCCATCGTATGATTTATGTGATCAACAACATCAATTTGCCTATCGTTTACTTGCCGATCATGTTCGTATGTGTACAATATCGATGAATGATGGTTTACTTCCAGAAAAAACACATAGTGCAGGAAAATTAAGAAAAATGTTAGAACGTGCTTGTCGTATATCATATGAAATATTTCATGCTAAACCTGGTCTATTATCCTATCTAGTGCCAATTGTTGTACAAATATTAAATGACGCCTATCCAGAATTAAATAAAAATATGAATCGTATTGTAGAAATACTCAAAGATTTTGAATTAAATTATTATATGAAATATGAAAGAGCAAAACCATTTTTAATTAATTATATTGAAAATTTGAAAAATCAACAAACAGGTATGTCTCATTTTATTTTGTTTTAATCATTTATTATTAGAAAGCTGACTAAGAGTATAATTGATCAGAGATGGGCGAGTACATACTTTTTCGAGTACGAGTATTTTGTGGCAAGTATGAGTATGAGTACACGAAAATTTTACTAAAATATGTATTCGAGTACAAGTTTTTTATAAAGAGAAAAAATGTATGAAGTATATATGAAGTAAAAGTTAATTTTATTTTTTCTCTTGTTAGGACAAATAGTTCGTTTACTCTGTCGGAATCAACGAGTGAATTAAAAGTTTTAAAGAGCAAAAAGAGATTATTTAAAATGCCTTCCTTGCTAATTTGTTTCTTATCCATGCTCAAAGAAGAAACATACTTTTAGTTGAAACGTCGAACTAACTGTTCATTTTTCATAAAAATGTATGCCAAATGCAAAATTTTTTATTGTTTCTTTTCTATATAGATACTACTGAAATCAAACTAAGTGGTATCGATATCTGGCGTTTATATTCTGGTTATCAAAGTCATATTAATGTTCCAGTAGAAATGATTGATGAATATACAAAAACGTTGCCAAATGTAACTGTTGATTGGTTGGCTTATGAACAGTTTATGAATGAACGAGAAAAACAAATAAAATTGGGTACTGTTTATGGTAAATCGATGAAGAATAAAGATGATAAAACAATTATCTATGATAAAGATAAATTATCTGATATTTTAAAACAATTAAACTTTCCATCGACAATTGATCGTTATAAATATGATAATGTAACATTTAATAATCAATCATTATGTGTTAAAGATATTAATTCTACTATTCAAACCATTATTGATAATGATATGAAAATTATTGATAATACAATTTTAATAGATGAAAATTCATTCTATTACATTTTACTTGATCGTACAAATTTCTATTCAACAAGTGGTGGTCAACCATCGGATCATGGTCATATTGAATTTCATTTAAATAATGATAATAGTTCAACATCTATTTTATTTAATGTTCTTCATGTTTTACGTATAAACAATTATTTGTTACATTATGGACATTTTGATAAATTTAATGATAATAACTTAAATATGAATAGAATCAAAAATGTTTCTTGTCATATTGATTCTCGTAGAAGATTCTTATTAACACGTAATCATACAACGTTACATTTAGTTAATAAATTATTACGTCAAATATTAAATGATAATAATTTAAAACAATTGAGTAGTTTGGTAAATGAACGTGGATTTATTTTTGAATATAGTTCTGTTATGTTATTAGAATCAACAACAACAACAACAAATATATATAAAATATTAGAAGAAAAACTTAATGAAATTATTAAACAAAATATATCAATAAAAGTGAATGAAATTGATTTTGAACATATTCAACATGATAAAACTATTATTAAATTAGATAATGAAAGTTATCCAAAATATGTTCGATGTATTGAAATTGGTAATAATGATAATAATGAAATATTTCATTCAAAAGAACTTTGCTGTGGTACACATTTAATATCAACAAAATATATTGATGATTTTTTAGTTATCCGATGTGATGATAAAGGAAATAGTATTAAACGTTTATATTGTTTAACGGGTGATATAGCACATCAAACACGTGAATCTTATTATAATGATATTTTACAAAAATTAACAGAATATCGACAACAACGAAATCGATTATCAATTGATCAATTATATTCTATTGGTAATAAGTTAAAAATAGCCTATTTTGATGATAAAATGAAAATACCGTATACGGAATTTGATATATGTTGGAAACGTTTTCAACAAGTTATGCCAACACAAAAAAAATTAAAATATTATTTAGTAAAATTATTTAAAAAAACATTAAAAGAAAAACAAAATGATTTCATTGTTCATAATATTGATGTACCAATGAATGAAATTGGTCATGCTTTATTAAGCATAGTTAATGAGCTAAAACGATCAATAGTCTATTTTAATACAATATCAAAACATTTTATTATGATTGTAATCGATAATGAAACAAAACGAAATGATATAATTGATTTAATGGATAAAAAATTTTCCATGAAATTATTAGACATAAATAATAGAAGTGATGAAACTTATCTCATTAATAAATATAAAAATTTATTAATATTTAAAACAGAAAATGATAATGAAAATTTTAAAGAAGAAAATCTTGTTCAATTGACGAATCTCATTAAATCTTCTCATGATGTTGTTAATGAGAATAGAAGTGTTAATCTTTAGTTTTATAATTTGTTGTTGTTGTTTTTTGTTGTTTTATCCTTTCTAAACAAAATAATTGACTTTTTTCTAGTCATCTTAGACATTTTTGTCTCTTTTACCGAATTGCAAAAGAATTTTGCATTTTGTGTAGAAAAAAAAAAGCATCAATGAAAAGTCATTAAAAAATATCTTTAACGCATTGTAAATTTGCTTCTGATATATTTATTATTTTTGTTTTTTTGTAAAAACAAAATGAAAACAAGTCGTAAATTTGGTTTCTTACTTGAATTTTTGTATAAGTTTTAGATAAATTTATTCAATATTAGAATAAAACATATCTATTCTGTATTCTCCTCTGTTTATGGAAGCTGGAGAAACAATGGTTGAAATAAGTCGACCAACAATAACAGCACAAGTATCAGGTGATACACATGAAGGAATTAAACAATACTATATTCAGAAGATTGAAGAATTACAAGTATATATGATAGAGTTACATTATTTGTTCTATTTGTTTATACTGAAATCTGTTTTTGTCATTCTAGTTGATGGTAGCTGAAAAAAGTCAAAATTTACGTCGTTTACAAGCACAACGAAATGAATTGAATGCAAAAGGTAAGTTATAATAGGAGCAAAAAAGAAAATATGTTATATTAAAATTAATTATTTTTATTTTGTTTTTAGTTCGTATGTTAAGAGAAGAATTACAATTATTACAAGAACAAGGTTCACTCGTTGGTGAAGTTGTTAAAGCCATGGATAAAAAAAAAGTTCTTGTTAAAGTAAAAAAACATTGTTTAGTCTTTTATATGAATTAATTCTTTATTAAACAATTATGTTATTAGGTTCATCCTGAAGGAAAATTTATTGTTGATATTGATAAAAATATTGATATGGCCAAAGTTACACCCAGTTGTCGAGTGGCACTAAAAAATGATAGTTATACATTACATAAAATACTTCCAAATAAGGTAAATACATAAGTGAGAAAAAAAGTAAAAAAAAAAGAAAGGCTAAAATTTTATTGATTCATTTTAGGTTGATCCACTAGTCTCATTAATGATGGTTGAAAAAGTGCCCGATTCAACATACGAAATGGTGGGTGGTCTCGATAAACAAATTAAAGAAATCAAAGAAGTTATTGAATTACCCGTAAAACATCCTGAATTATTCGATGCACTCGGAATTTCACAACCAAAAGTAAGTTTCTTTTTTACATATCATCATTGAGTTTTATTTAATAAATTAAATTTTCTAATGACATTTGTTTATTTAGGGAGTTTTATTATATGGACCACCTGGCACTGGTATGATTTGAAAATATTTTCTGTTTTTTTTTTGGTAACAACCATAATTTTTTTACATTCTTATTATTTAAGGCAAAACATTGTTGGCACGTGCTGTTGCTCATCATACAGAATGTACATTTATTCGTGTATCGGGCTCTGAATTAGTACAAAAATTTATTGGTGAGGGTTCTCGGATGGTACGAGAACTTTTCGTTATGGCACGGTAAATTTCTCTTAAATAACATTTGACTGGAGTAAATAAACATTTTTTTATTTTTTGTAAATATTTAGTGAACATGCACCATCAATTATATTTATGGATGAAATTGATTCTATTGGTTCGACACGTGTTGAAGGCAGTTCTGGAGGTAGAAAAACAAAATAAATGATCTCCTTTATTTTGTTTTACAGTATACGATATATATAGATTTATTTAGGCGATAGTGAAGTACAACGAACAATGTTAGAATTATTAAATCAATTAGATGGATTTGAACCAAAACAAAATATTAAGTAATTTATTTTTTATTTTTATTTAAAATAAAAATAAAAAACACATCCTTATTCATTGACTATACTCTATCATTCATATTTTATATATTAGAGTTATAATGGCCACTAATCGTATCGATATATTGGATCCCGCTTTATTACGTCCCGGTCGAATTGATCGTAAAATTGAATTTCCTGCACCAAATGAAGAAGCACGTTTAGATATATTAAAAATTCATTCAAGAAAAATGAATTTAACTCGTGGAATTAATTTACGAAAAATATCTGAAATGATGCCGGGTGCATCGGGTGCTGAAGTGAAAGTAAAAAAAAAAGCAAAAATATTGAAACAAATAAAATGACTCATCTTAAATGTCAAAATAATCTCTTTATTCTAGGGTGTATGTACAGAAGCTGGAATGTATGCATTACGTGAACGTCGTGTACATGTTACACAAGACGATTTTGAACTTGCTGTAGCAAAGGTAGAACAATTAAATTTAAAATAGTCTTCTAGAATATTTCTATTAATTCTTTATTTTTCGTATTATTTAGGTTATGCAAAAAGATTCTGAGAAAAATGTTTCACTAAAAAAATTATGGAAATAAATTGTTAATCTTTTTCTGTTATTTTTTTTCTTCTTTTTCTGTTTGTAAAAACAAAAAATAATAAATAATCCGCACTGAACAGATAAAATTTGAAAGTTGTTTTGTTTTTAACTTGTTTTTAAGTTTTATCACGATGAGATAGAATTATAATTAAGAATATTATCCTAACCTATTCAATTATAAATAAAATAAAGTTTCATTTGAGTTTATGATATTATTCATATTAAGATATTTATAAAATTAAATTCAAGTTTCACTTAAATTTAAAATATTCTTAATTATAATTCTATCTCATCGTGATAAAACGATTCAACTTAAAAAAATCTTTTTCTGTTATTTTTTTTTTCTTCTTTTTCTGTTTGTAAAAACAAAAAAATGATAAATAATTCACACTGAACAAATAAAATTTTGATTTTTTTTTTTAAGGGACGGGTAACCATCCACAAACCTGTCCTCTAATTATGCCAGTTTGTAGAGTGCGTTGAGTACTATATATCTTTAAGAAATTTCGGCGATCCTATGAATATTGGTGAAGTTATGAATTTTTTAACGTTGGACGTTGGTCAAAATTTTCGGTCTAACGGCTGGTTTTCGATATTCGACAGAAGTCATTCAGAATAATGACACAAATAATTTTTCTATAATAATGAGGATTGTTTATACAAGTATGTTTAGATGCACAATTATTCATAGTTATTATGTATGTAAAAGAAGAAAAAATTTCTATCTAATAGACTTTTTCTAAAACTGATGCCAGTTCGATGTAGTCTGGTCGTTTGCATTATTTTTTTCTTCAACCCTTTTTGCTCAAATATAAGGAATAATATATCATTCGAATCAGTTACTCAAGCGCTACAAAATCCTGTATTATATTTTTTAATCTGTCATGAATGTGGGTTTTTTTCGAGATTTTTTCATACATGGGCTTTTATATGAATTAAGAGCTCATATATTATTACAGAAGAATGCCCGTGGCTATTTCTTTAATAATTTTTGAATAATGCACTTCGAAGACTTGCGGTTTTCAGCAATGTATAGAGGAGATAATTAGCTACAGGCTGACATAACAATATCTGAGAAAATACCACCTACAGGTGGTATATCTTGTTAGTCTTTAAAAAAGTGGGTCGTGGTTCCAAGATCTAACAGAATATCCCAGTGTTTCTCATATAGGTATGATAACCTAAAATATTTTCTGCAAAATCTTTCGCGGTTTAGGCGCGCTATCGGATTTCCTCGAAGTCCCAGGATCGATATTTCCTTAGGTGTGGTAATCTCGAATGAATGAAAACATGGGTTATCCATCACGCTGAGTCTCACAGCAATATTCGTTTTTCGAAAAAAATTCAAACACTTAGTGAATACCAGTGAATATTAGGTAAAATCGCTCTTGCATGGAAATTCAATTTTTTCATTACCTCGTCCGCGAACTTATGAACACATTTCGAAAACAGCGAAGCATTTTGAAGAAATATTTTCACTGGCAAAGTTGTTCAAGATAATCCTCTTCATATGCTAAGTGGAGTACTTTTTTAATTTTAGTGGGAAAATTTTGAAATAAATGTAATTTACATAAAAATTTCAAATAAATTTATTATAAAAAATTATTATTTAATTTTATTATAATAAATTTTTATTTATTTTATTTAATTATTTTTTAATTTTTATTAATTATTATTTATAAATTATAAATAAAATTTATTTAAAAATTTTCTCACTAAAATTAAAAAAGTGCTCCACTTAGCATATAAAGAGGATTATCCTGAATAACTTTGCCAGTGAAAATATTTCGTCAAAATGCTTCGTTGTTTTAGAAATGCGTCCATAAGTTTCAAAAAATTATTTTAAGGACTCAAACTGCACTAGAATGGAAACTGTTAATGTTCTCAGACACAGTTAGGTCAATTTTCGTTATAACTTGTGAGTATATGTCACTTAATGTGCGCTGTCGAACTGCGTAACAATAAGACTTTCAGCTTTAATTTTGAATTTTTATAAATTTTTTAAATAGGGGATCAAAATCGTATGAAATTAGTAAAAAATTCTTATCTCAGCAGTTACAAATCTGTACATCGAAAACACTTCAGGGTATATACATCTTGATGTACCTACAAAGTTATGAAAAAAACGGGAGTGATTATCGCCCCCCCACCCCCTTATGTTGAATCGTTTTATCATAATGAGATAGAATTATAATTGAAAATATTATTCTAATTACAGATGATTTGTTTCACTTCTTTTTTATTCTTTTTTTTTTGTTCTAGAATGGAAATCCGATTAACTATTTTACGTTCTCCACACTACAATGATACGATTAATGTTGATGAAGATTTGCAAGATTATTTCAGTGAACAAAGACATATAAAATTGAATCAACAGATAACAATTCGACCACTATTACAACCAGGTGAAGAAAACAAAAAACAAATCTTTCATTTTACATATTAAATCTTAATATTGTTTAAATTTTATTTTTAGAGTTAGAAGTTCACTTTGTTATTTCGTCAATTATAGACAACACTCAGAATGAAAATGAAAATAATAAAAATAAAGAATATTTAGTTTCCGGTGATATGTGTCGTATTGTTGTTGATGTTAAAAAAACTATTCAAGATAAATTAATGAGGTAAATTGAAGAAAAATATTTTATAAAATTTTATATTTTAACTAAAAAGTATTTTTATAGTGAAATAGTAGAAAATGATAATTGTGATGAAGATCCAATACGTTTTGCTACTCAACGTTTGAGACAAATTTTAATTACATTTGATATACAATGGAGTAAACAAACAAATCTTCCACTTTTGATTGTACATGGTCATTTAGGATCAAATAAACGAACATTGGTACAATATGCATGCAGAGTAACTGGTTACCATTGTCATACAGTGAGTAAGTGATTTACTCGGAATGAAATTTATCATTCAAGATCAATTTTACTAGGTTGTATCATTTTCGCATAAATTCATTTTCTCAATATTTTCAAAGTAAATTTATTTTAAAAGAATTAAAAATGATCGATATTTTTGTTTTGTTTCTAGGTTTCTAGTCAATTATTAACTGGTGATTCAGCTGCTGCTACATTAAAACGTATTGAAAATGCGCTTCAAACAGCAATTAAATGTGCCCCATGCGTATTATTATTAAGAAATGTGAAAATAAATATATTAACTATCCAAATATCAATTTTAATCTTATTTTATTTGTTTAGTTCGAGTATATTTGTAAAATAACTGATATAGATAATGATGACTCGATTATTACGAATGGTATACGTCAACTAATTCAAAATATACAGATATCTACATTAAAACGACCTGTTCTCATCATTGGCTTACTAACTAAACTTCAGACATTAAATGAAAGACTTTTATCATTGTTTAGCTATACTGTTCAAGTGCCAGTAAGTTGAATATGAATAAATAGTCAAACAAAATAACATATTGTTATCTATTAAAGGAGTTAAATATTGAAATTAGAAAAAAATGGATTGTTAAACGCTTATCGAACATTCCACTATCCGATGATTTTAGTATTGATATGTTTCTTGCTCAAACAAAAGGTAAAATAGTTAAGAAAAGAAAAATAACAAAATAATATAATTTAAATCGAAATTTTTTGTTTTTATCATTTAGGTTGGCAAATGGGTGAATTAGAACAATTAGTTCATTTTATTATTCAAGCATGTTCGGCAAGAAACAAAGAAAAGATGATAGAGTAGGTTTATAAATGTTTGTTAAAATTTGAATCGTATCAGTTCAAATTATTTTAGCCCTTCAGAATGGTCATTGAATAGTGTTGATTTTGATATTGCTTTAAAAAAATGTCATAGTTCAAAATTAGCTGGACAAAGAAAAGCAATGATACCCAGTGTACATTGGAATGATATCGGTGGTTTAGAATACGCAAAAAAAGAAATATTAAATACAATACAATTACCATTATTATATCCAGATTTATTTGGAGATATTGCACGGTAAGAATTTTGAGTTTCTATTAATTTAATAAACGACAAAATTGTTTCTATTATTTATTTACAGAACTGGAGTTTTATTGTATGGGCCACCAGGAGTCGGTAAACTTATCAAATATTATTATTTTTCAATTGTATAATTCTAAGTATACAAAGGGACTTTGTTGTTTTTTTATTTTAGGAAAAACTTTATTGGCTAAAGGCGTAGCTACTGAATTATCTTTAAATTTTCTAAGTGTACGTGGTCCAGAATTATTGAATATGTATGTGGGACAGAGTGAACAGAATATACGCGATTTATTTCATCATGCACGTTTAGCATCACCGTGTGTGCTATTTTTTGATGAACTTGATTCATTAGCACCAAGTAAATATCTTTTTTTTATTTCTTTTTCAAAAGAGGAAAAAAAAATACATTTTTTTAGTGCGAGGTCGTTCTTCCAGTGATTCATCAGGTGTCAGTGATCGTCTCGTTTCACAATTATTAACTGAAATAGATGCATTAAATAAAACATCAACAGAACAAGATACTGGCAAAAATGAGAATGTTCAAATTCATCATGTGTTTGTTATTGGTGCAACAAATCGACCAGATTTATTGGATGAATCATTATTACGACCAGGAAGATTTGATAAATTGATCTATATTGGTGTATCTAATTTACACGAAGATCGAATGAAAATGTTTGATGCCTTAACACAAAAGTATATTTTCTACATAATATCATTTAACTGATATAATTTCATATTTTTAATTATATATAGATTCAACATTAGTGATAATAATTTTGATAAACATGAATTCGTAAAACGTTGTCCACTAAATATGACTGGTGCCGATTTTTATGCAATTGCATCGAATGCCTATTTGAATGCCATTCAGCGTTCAATAAAATTAAAGGTTGATTCTAGTTTACAAAAACAAAGTAAGATATTATTAAAATTCACGTTCATAAACAAATTTTGAATTAATTATACTCTTTAAGATGTTGAAGATGACGAGTCAAAGACTGTTTTACTCTACGATGACTTCCAGTATGCATTAGAACAGTTTAGACCATCTATTGATAAAAATGATTTAAAACAGTATGAAAGACTTCAAGATGGATTTTCTTAAGTGCAATATATTTTTTTATATTCAGTGTTATTTATAAAATTTTTAGAAAAAACAAAAAAATCTTTTACGAGATACTGTAATGTGTAAAATAGAAAAAAAATGAAGTGGAAGATCAAACTGAAAAATATGCACACTAACGGGTCCTTCAGAAGAAATTATCCTCTTGATATTTTCGTCTGTTCTCCCTTTTCTTCTATCGATTTGAGCTACTTCTTTTTGCAAAAGATGCGCCTTGAAATACTCTACAAAATCATACCTAAACTATAATTTCAGAACTTCAATCAAGAAAACTAAGTCAATTAGATGAAAGTCGAAAAAGATGAAAACTTTCCAAACTCAAAATTTTTTTCGATGTGAACTTTTTCTTCTGCTGCTATTTCCGCTAAAAAGTGTAGCAAAAGTGAGAACTCAGTTTGTGTTTGGTACTTTCAAATGTGCTCTTTCTCGTAGTCTGTAAACAATTTTTTTAGTGCAGATGGCATGTTGGAGAACAAAGTTACAAAAATACGTCAAAAGTTGACAACCTCCTATTTCCAACAATGTGCTCAAGCAAAACACGGAAAACATGATTGAATTTTTGGTTTTGCAGTTAGATAGAAAAGAGCAATCATTTCTGATCAAAATAAAACTAATCCGACTGAAAAAGCTTTCACTCTGACGGAGTTATGGGACTTTTACTCAAAGCACTACTATACCCAAAATTTAAAAAATTAATCAAAAAATGCATGACAACCGACAGAAAAACTATTATTTCGCCGTGGCTTTTGATGTGAAAAAATCTGAAGCGTAGCTAAAAGATAGAGCGAAGTCAGAGCTACAGAATGGCTAATTCAGTTTTTTGTACTTTCAAAACGTTAACACAAGAAATCATTGTTGAGTTTGGAAAATTTTCATCGTTTTCGACTTTCACCTAATTGACTTAGTTTTCTTGATTGAAGTTCTGAAATTATAGTTTAGGTATGATTTTGTAGAGTATTTCAAGGCGCATCTTTTGCAAAAAGAAGTAGCTCGACTTGGCCATATGTTACGTAATTTCATTTTTTCGTCTTCTGTGCCCCTTATCTCGGCAAAGAAGCAACGTTTATCAATGAAATTTATACCGATGATGAATATTAGGAAGTTCTGCTACCAAAAATAATTTGAGCTTGATTGAAGAAGCGGATCAAAAGTTATAGTCAAAATAGAGGCCGTTACGGAATTTCAAAAGATGGAAGTGTTTTTTTGGGTATTCCAGTACAATGTAAATTATTCAGCCTTAAATTAATTTTAAAATGATTACTTAATACCAAATTAAAGCTCACAGTTTGTGCTATCAGAATCACTACCGACTTTTTCTTGAATTAGTTCCCTGGCAGAGGAAATCGAATAAAAGTGACCGTTACGGAATTTCACCGTTTTTTGCTCTTCTTTGCAGATGGTTTGGTATATATTTTTTCTGTCACAGAACTCACAGAACTGCTTAGCAAACTCTAATTTGCACATAGATAGATAGTTGGAGAGTGCCTGTCATCCCATGCAGCCCAAAATAAATTTTCAAAGTTATATTAAATGGACATAAAATTGCTCACAAAATAACCGTCGAAACTATTTTTAGAAAATAAAAACGAAATTTAACATCTGAGCGTCAAAACAAATGAGCCCTCTGGTAGAGAATTTGATTCTCTATCCGACGGTATGGTTTTCAGAATTTTTGGAAAAAATATTTAGCTCAGAAAATTAAATTTAAAATTTAAAAATTCAAATTTTCATCATGAATATTTGACTTTCATTTGTTTTTGAGTCCAGATTTGTAATCACCGTGAAAAACTGCGTCTGATGATGTATTTTTAAGCTTTACTGAAGTTGAAATAAAAATTCGAACCTTCTCATCCGAAGGTGGACCGTTAGCTGGCCACGTCGAGCTCAAATCGATAGAAGACAAGGGAGAAAAGACGAAAATACCAGCGGGCAATTTCTTCTGAAGCACCCGTTATTTAAACTATGACTCCTTTATTTTGTTAATTTGTGTGATACAACAGGAGACAACAATGTTTAGATTAAACTAGCGATAAGGATAAATTTTGTGAGATCTTCAATGAGTTTCCTGTCTCATAATCAAATATTTATTAATCAAGGGTTGTTCGTTGGGATAGCATCATATTCCACGTCAATAATTGTCGCTTGTTGTATGATTCACGGCAATGTAAAACTTGATCCGATTTCGTTTGTCTGTTACAAAATTCCATTTGTTTAGCAGATGTAATTTACTTCTTGACAACGAGAGAATTCGAAAATATTTCTTATCAGCCAACGATACTTAATAAACCTAGAGTTGTACAGTTAAATTAGAATACTGTATAACTTTTTGCGGCATCATAAAATAAACTTATGTTTTGAGTGGGTATGTACCAGTTATGAAAGCAGCTTTTTTATCCTTTTACGACTTTTTAACAACAAGATCATTATTTTTTAGGAATATATTCTACAGAACTAGGAAACATGTTATTTAGATGAAGACAGTTTTATACTGTTCTGATTTTCAGCAAAATTACGTTGTAGCCTAAGCATTTCTCTACATAATGAGAGGTTTTACAACTCTGAGCAGTCCTCACCAGAAGAGTTATAGAAAGTGTTAATACCAGCTATATAATTGATGTATAACTAGTGTTGAAAGAACAAGAAACATTTTTTTTTCTGAATAATAGTTTTATGATATTGTCTAATGGCTAATAAATTCACGGTGTTGGCTTCATGATTTGAAGTTTAGAATCATTAATCGTCATCTACTATGCTATATTCATTATAAAATGCTCGAAATTCTGTATTGAAATATCAAACTAAACAAAAATCGGCTTAGTTTGACAGATTTGTTGGATTAGGCCATCATTTTCTTACATCATGTATGAACTGACTCCTACAAATTGGAATCATTTGCTCTTACATGATTATTTGCAAATGAGCGTAACTTTTTAGTTGTATACGCTCCTGATTTGCTATTACATCTTGGTCTTAGATTGCGTGGTGAGAATGGTTTGCCTCATTGAGTTTTTTTCAAACACGTGGAACAAATTGCATTTGTTAACATTAACGGATGACATATAAATTATCTTATTTTCGTAAAAGTTTGTAGCGAACTTCGACTGAAAATACCTAACGAATGAAAATATTTTACGAGATGAATCTAACATATAGGCCAACTATTGTCAATTCTCTTTAAATACAGGATACTTCATTTTCTCGAGTGTTAATGCAACACAACATTTAAATTTAAATCCCTTGAAAATTTGATGTATAGTCCTAATATATTTTAAGCAATAGTATATCTTAAAGAGAGAAATATATATGCATAATATTAGTAACACATCTAGTCTATACTATTTTAAAATAGATATGATCAAAATATGTCAGCATTTTCTCTACGGTTATTTAAATGTTCAATAATAATTTTGACAATGCAATTTTTAGTTAATCATGAAAAGTAGAAAAAATGATATATGTACAACATACATGTTACATGGCCATCATATAATCGTTTTTTTTCTGCATTTTTTTGATTGTATCAATGAACAATTGAGATATAGATACAAGCGATTTTATTCACGACAGTATCTTTGACTAATAAACATAATTACAACCGTTCTAACAAACTTCAAGGTAAGTAGAAAAAAAAAAATCATTTGATAGAAGGTTTACAGTTAATTTGTTCACAACAATTTTAAATTATGATTTGATACATATGTTTAAGACAAATGTAGACGAAAATTTTTTAAATATTAATGACAATATTATCATATTTTCAAAAACTCCTTAATATGAAATGATAATGAATATAATTATTGTATATAATATTAGAATAACTATTAGGAAAAATTTCTTATTAACATAATTTATAAATATTAATATTATGACATGAAAATGTAATCTTTTTATTAAAAGTGAGAAATTGTTTGAAGTTAAAAGTAGCAGTGAAAAGATGTGAGTGTTGAATGATTAATTGATAGGGTTAAATCAACATCCATTGTTATAAACGAATAGACAGAATGTGAATAAAACACGATTATGTTTACAGTACTGTATATTGAAAACATCTTACATGTCAGTGATGTTTCATATGTTTCCGAGGTTAAAAACTTATATAAAATATATTTTCCTCTATAGTCAACAATAAGTGAACATTATATATACATATCAACATATATAGAAGAGAAGAAAAAAAAAATTAGTCTTCTATCTTACTATTGAATAGAACTACTCTTTTTTTTTGTTTGTTAATGTGTCTAATATGGAATGTAGAGATTGGAAAAATGTTACAATGATTAACATTAACATTAAATATGATGATCTGGTAAAATTATCAGTTTAAGTCTGAAATCTCTAAATAGTTCTGTTTTTTTCTGTTTTAATTTATTGGAAAAATTATTAATAACAATATGAAGTAAACAAATGTTTAAAAGAAAAAATAATAGGGTAAGAAAATATTGTCTTTCGATAGTTTGGATACATGATACTTTATTTTACAAGAAAACTTTTGAGTGATCCTTCTGAGATAATACAAATGTTTATTAGATTAGACAGAATCATACTTTCTCTCATATTGAACATATAATAATTAATAAAAATCATGTGTAAATATATTAATACTAAAATATAAATTCAAATCTTGTTCATCAACACATTTGTTTCGATATTGATCGGTAGATCAATAGAAAAATAACAATTTTATGAAAATAAATGGTTGATAAGTTGTATAACTGAGAGACAAATGTAAAACAATTTATTATACACATTTTTTCAATTTATTTACTGCGAATAAGCAAAAAATATTTATTTTTATTAATGTTGATTAATTCAGTTGTTGACATTGTAATAGGTTCGTTGACCATTCTTATTTAATAGGGTTTGACAGGCTCAAGTGTTTGTGTCTGTGTATGTGTAAGAGAAAGAGCGGGAAAAAGAAGTTATTTCTGTTCGTCACGGTAGCTCACTACCTTTTTAGTTTTCTTTCTTCGCTTTGTTTTAAT